TTTTTAAAAATAAACTTTAGTCTCAATGTTAACAAAATGAAGATTAACTTTAATTTTAAATTACTAAAATAAAAATATTATTAAAAATAAATCAAATTTATTAAAAATTTAAATTTTAATAAATTAAGACTAAAGTGATATTAACTATTCAATACATTGTTTAAAAAAGTTTAATAACAAATATTCTTTAATATATTTTTCAATTGAAAATTTCAATTGAAATTAAATTATATTTTAAAAATTTATATTAAAAAATTGAACACATTAAATTATCACATTTTCATTCCTCATTAACTTAATTAATTAAAAAATTACAATTTCAATCAAATTATTACAATTTTATTTTTATAATACTTTATTTTTAATCTCATTTTTAAATTTATTGCTTTATTATTATTAATTGCTTAATCATGGTTGTTTTCATATTATTGATATACCAAAAAAAATTTATATCAAAATATAATTGATATACATTAGATAATAAATATATTATTTAATTAAACTATTTATATAAATATATTTATATTTAGTTGAAATATTTTTTACTTTAAGTATACTAATTAATATTTTTTATTTTTAACAAAATTAATAACAAAGATTAAAAATAAACAGCTACAAAAGTTAAAAATTTAAAACTAATCTATTTTATAAAAATTAAAAATAAACCATATTTAAATAAATTAAAAATATATTTAAATCTATATTCAACACACCTTCAATTTTGTTCAATAAATACATAGATTACATTTGGAAACTTCATCATCTGAAATAACTTCAAAATTATTAACGTTTTTTTTTGAAGCCCGATTTTTTGACTTTTTTACTAAAATAATATGATTATATTATATATATACCAAACAGAACCTTCTGATGAAATTATTTACTTAACTGAACTTCTCATGAAATTATTTACTTAACTGAACCTCTTTTACTTGTTGTACTTGAAATTTGGTTTCTCATATACCGAATTTCAACTTTAAACTTACCACTTTCTTTTAAATAAAAATTAAATAAAATATATAATTAAAAATAATAAAAATAGAATTTTAATTTTAAAAATTAAATAATATTTATATAAAAATAATAAAAATAATATATTATTTAAATATATATTAAATTATTTAAATATATTTAAATAATTATTAAAAATATTAAATAATAATTTTTTATTATATTTTTTTATATATATATTTTTTAATAGGAAATTTAAAATTTATATCTTCTAAAATAATAATATTATATTATATATATATATATATATATATATATATATATATATATATATATATATATGTAACCTTCCGATGAAATTATTTACTTAACTCGAACCTTTTTTATCGTTGTACTTGAAATTTGATTTCTCGTAAATCGAATTCCAACTTTAAACTTACTAATTTTTTTAAATAAAAAATAAAATAAAATATATAATTAAAAATAATAAAAATAATATTAAAAATAAAATTTTAATTTTAAAATTTAAATAATATTTATATAAAAATAATAAAAATAATATATTATTTAAATATATATTAAATTATTTAAATATATTTAAATAGTTATTAAAAATATTAAATAATAATTTTTTATTATATATTTTTTATTTTTGAATAGGAAATTTAAAATTTATATATTTTTTATTATATGAATTATTTAAGTTATAATTTTAGAAAAAAATTGATAAATTTAATATATAAAATATTAAAAGTAAAATTAAAAATAAGTTATTAGTAGCAAAATAAAAATTATAGAACATGATATTAAAGAAAAATAATAAAGGTTGAAAGATTTTTAGAGAATGAAAATAATAGAGGTTTATGAAGAAGAAAACTCTCCACAAATTTCTCCCGAAATTCAAGAACAACACATCGACGAAATCCAAAACATAATAGACGTCGTCCTCATTGTGGAACTAAACACCACTTTTGACATTAAAATTTTCTTAACATTATTATCAATAATTTTATTTTTCAATTTTTATTATCAATGATTATGTTATTTTTAATATTATACATTAAATTATGTCAATTTTAATTATTTTTTATTTTATATTATTAATAATAATTTTTAACTAATTAAATAATATTTTTACTTTATTATTTTAAAAAAATAATTTTAGCATGAATTTTTTAATATAATATTTATAATTTATCAAATAAAAACTATTACATAAATTTTTATAATATAATATTTAATTTTTTAATATATTACCTAAATTAAATTTGTATTTATTCTATTTTTTTTAAATTATAACTTAAATAATTCATATAATAAAAAAATATATAAATTTTAAATTTCCTATTCAAAAATAAAAAAAATATAATAAAAATTTATTATTTAATATTTTTAATAATTATTTAAATATATTTAAATAATTTAATATATATTTAAATAATATATTATTTTTATTATTTTTTATATAAATATTATTTAAATTTTAAAATTAATTTTTTTTTAATATTAATTTTATTATTTTTAATTATATATTTTATTTTTTTTATTTAAAAAAATATGGTTAATTTAAAGTTGGAATTCAATTTACTGAAAGCCTAATTCTAAGTACAACAGTTAAAAAGGTTGAACTAAGTAAATAATTTTATGAGAGATTGAGTTAAGTAAATAATTTAATCGGAGATTCTGTTATGTATATATATAATATAATAATATTATTTTAGTAAAAAAGTCATCATATTAATATTATAATTATTTTAATGTTATTTATGATTATAATTTTTCTTTAATAACTCGTGTAATAGAGATTACTAATTTGCTGTAATTTATCAAAATAAAACCTTCATTTTAACAATAAAAAACTTATCTTTTAACATAATGGTTAAAAAAACTGAACAGTTAAAGCAAACTTAGTCCTGCAAGCTCCAAAACTAAATTGGGTTCGGGGTAGTTAAATAACCCAAACATTCAGTTGAGAACCAAAAATATTACTAATATAATGGATTTTGTTTGTGGAACATACCATTTTCGAACTAAATTAATTGTATTCATAGTTATCAACGAGAGACGACAAAGTTCCTCCGACTTTTGTACTTGGTCCAACTCCATCAGCTGAAAAGGATAAACAGCTATTTATAATTTTTCCCGTTAACGGCTAATTATATAAAATTTGAGTAGTGCCGTTTGTGTAACGTCTCTCCGAAGATTCATTCCCTCGCCGAAACGCAAATATCCAATTCCAACTTCAAGTCTTGTTTGTACTTTTCACATTCATACTCTTCTCTCTCCATGTCGTTTTGACGTTTACTATTTTTATTTATTTATTATTCATTTTATAAAAATAAAAAATTGGCGTGTCAACAAAGCCTCCAGTCCCACAATAGCATTAACTGACGTAAATCATTATCCATATACCAAACTGCCCTTAAGTCAGGGCGAGTGCATTTACTCTTCCTCAATCTGCGCGTGAGTGTGCCACAATGTCCGCGTCACTTTAGTGGTGGCTGAGCTTGCTCCTTCCAATTTTGGCGTGAATTTTCACAACGGAAGCACAATTCACTCAGCGTGACTTCACCTCTTCGACAGTTACGCTCCGTACTCGATATAGCCCCGGCAAATCGTAACGGTCAAATTTTACTTCCCATTTTCAACTTCCTGGCCATTCAGCTACACTAAATTTCTCTTCTGTATATGCATTTTTTTTTCTCGGCTTCCAATTCCGTTCAATGCTTACTGTAGCTTGTTCGTTTTTCAGTTGATTTCTAGGGTTCTGAGACTCGGCGTGAGTTCCAAGAATGAGTTTTAAGTTTCGAATTGAATATTATAGATTGATTATAGTAATGAAAATATTGTAATTAGAATTAGTAGAATTTTGGAATAAGACCAATGGTGGCTGCGATTTCTACGGCGATAAACCCCAAGCGAGCGCAGACTCCAACTCCAAGGAGAACTCCTCTGTTAACTTCTGAATCAGACAATGCAGTCGCTCCTCCACGAAGGCCCAAAGCACGACAGGTTACTTCTCGCTACATGTCTTCGTCATCGTCTTCGTCTTCCTCCGTTTCGTCTCCTCCACGACGATGCCATTCACCGCTACTGGTGACACGGACGGTGAATTCTACAAAGCAAACTCCTACGCCGGCGTTGAAGCGGTGTCAGTCGGCGGAGCGCAGGCGACGAGGCACTCCTCTACCTACTCCCACTGACACTCCCGCGGCTCAGAAAGTGCTATTGACTTCCACCAGGAGCTTGTCTGTTTCGTTCCAGGGCGAGTCGTTCCCGATCCAGATCAGGACCACGAAACCGCTGCCGTCACAGAGTTTGCGGAAGAGCACGCCGGAAAGGAGGAAGGTCGCAACGACGCCGACGCCGGTGAGAAATGGCAATTCGGATCACGCAGAGAATGCGAGGTCGCTAGATCGGCACCGGTGGCCGGCAAAATCACTACCGCGGCCGCAGCAAATGACGTGCGTGAACCGGAGCTTGGAATATGTTGTTTCCGCCGAGCAAAAACCAACGGACTCGCCGGCGAACGTTGTTAGGTCGTTGCAGAATCTGATGGTAGATGTTCGAGCTTCTCACGACACGACACAGAGATCAGAAAGTAACAAAATTAACGGATCTGGGTTTCGGCCTGAGCCTGAGCCTGAGCCTGTTGCGTCTGATACCGAAAGTGTAACGTCTGAAAGTTCCTCTGGAGATGGAATTCGAAGTTCTCGCGGGATCGTGGTACCGGCGAGGTTCTGGCAAGAGCATAATAACCGTTTACGGCGCCAAACGGAGACTCCGTCTTCTAGAAACGGTGTAATTGGAAATAAAGGAACTGTAACTACTGTTCCTAGTTCCAGGCTTCACGTGCAGAAGAAATTAGCTTTGGATTCTGCTGTTTCATCGCCACGTGGAGTTGTGAATAGCCGTGTTCTTCAAGGTTCTTCTATTCGTTCCGCTGTTCGTCCCGCTTCTCCGAGTAAACTAGCGATCTCGTCTGTGTGGTTTCCTTCTAGAGGAGTGAGTCCGTCAAATGCGCAAAACGGCGTCACTGGTGGCATGAGTAGTACGTTTGGTAGTGAACCTTCTGTTTTGAGTTTCGCGGTTGATGTTTCGAGGGGGAAGGTAGGGGAGAATCGGATTGTTGATGCGCATTTATTGAGACTCTTCCATAACAGGTTCCTCCAGTGGCGTTTGGCAAACGCCAGAGCAGATGCTGCCCTCTCTGCGCAGACATTGAATGCGGAGGTATTTTTTATTTCGATATTTTTTGTATTGAAAATGAATTGCGCGGATAGGAATTTACCTGCTTTTCTATTACTCTTTCAAGCGGAATTGAGTGAAGATTCAAGATACATAATTTTGTTTTTGAATTTTTTTTATTAGTTCGATCTTAGCATATAATCATGAGCAATACTTTATTTGATTAGAATATGGATTCGAAGAAGGGAAAAATAACAGATTTGTCAGAAAAAAAGAGTTGAAAGAGAGATCGTTTGGATTAAGGGAAAAATGTTAAGAAGGATAGGAAAAAGAGAGCGAAGTTTGTAGAAGTTTGTGAGTGACTTATTAAAGGGAATGATAAAAAAATGTTTTAATAGAAGAAATTTGGAGATGACAAAATTGTCCCTTTGGTAAGAATGAGTGATGGAGAATCTTATTAGAGATTCAATTCTCATATAGGGATATTTATGTAAATATATACAAGGTGAGCTGGTTGTCTCTCAAATTCACTCTATTCATTCAAAACACAGAAGTCACTCCCTCTAGAATATCATTGGAAACAAACACATGAGAAGTTTTACAACTGCTTCTTATGTTTTATTACATCTTGAAATTTCCGGACATTCCAGATAAATGTGGCCACAATTACAGATCCAGACTGTGGCTGAAACCTAGGTGTTGTGGTTAGCTATGTCTAAAATACAAGAATCTTTTGAATATATGTATATATCTTTTGAATATCCTTCATTGTATCAGGAAAGCCTCAAAGCTGCATGGCTAACTATGTCTAAAATACAAGAATCTGTTAGAGCCAAAAGAACAGAGTTTCAGCTGCTGAAGCAACAGTTTAAGTTAATAAGCATCCTGAAAGATCAAGTAAGATCTACAACTTCCCTCTTCTAAGTTTATCGGTTTATATTTAAATTTTGCTTATCTTAATTTAAAGTTTTATCATTTCTCGAGTAGTTTGATTGTCATGTCCTGTCCTTCATAGTACAACTGTCATTTCAATGGATCTTGTTTCATGTAATTAGTTTCATTACTATTATTATGACCTATTGAAACTTGTTTATGTTACTTTTGGATTTAGATACATAGGCATTGCTCATTAATTCAATCTTGTTCTTCAGTTGAAGTTAATTAGAAAAATTTGACTAGGCTAATTGAATTGTTCCAAAACACATGTTTTTCATCCATTTCCTTTTTTTAAGATCTTATTGTTAACCACAGAAAAGATATCCACACACAACTAAAACAAGAAAGTCAGTTTGGGAGTTTGAATGTTCCAATGACTTTAATCAGAATTCAAACAGCAGTCAGGGAGATATTTTTATTACATGTAGATAATGTGGATATGATGACATTGGCTTTGTGTTTAGCTTTCACGGTATTTCTTGATGGAAACTATTTATGCAGATGGTGTTTTTGGAAGATTGGGCTACTTTGGATCGGGTTTACTCTAGTTCACTTTCAGGAGCTACTGAAGCCCTAAGGGCTAGCACTCTTCGTCTTCCTGTTGTTGGTGGGGCCAAGGTATTTTTCCTTTTAGCTTCGTGTTTATTCGTCATTAATTATCTAATTAAAGATAGTGTGTGACAGAAATATTGTTCTTGTTATCATATCTGAGCTATGTATTTCCTTCAGACAGATATGCTAAACTTAAAGGATGCAATTTGTTCAGCAATGGATGTGATGCAGGCAATGGCATCCTCCATATGCCTGCTGTCACCAAAGGTACGTATTGCTTTTGTCCTGCCTCCTTTTTTAGATGTTGAGTTTCAATTATATTTTTTGTGATGATTAAAATGTTAGTTTATTTTCTAGACAACTTTCTTTGTATCTTAGACTACATTATAATTATGAAAAAAAATAAAAAAATCAAGCGGTTTTGTTTTATAATGAGTCTAATCTTATCAAGTGATAGGTTTAGCGATAGGGTTTATAATAGGAGAAATAAATAAAGAGGTAGTTCTAACCTCCTTGTTGTTGTAACATGTTTAAGAAACTATTATATATAGTCTAGGTTTTTTTTTTATAATAACTCTCTTGGATTGTTTTGAGGAAAGGAAGTTAGGAGTAATTACTAACTATAATTGCGGGGGTTCTATCAACTGGTATTCAAAGCTACTTTCTTGGTCCCTGTGTAGCGGTAGGAGACTTATAAGCAAGATTAGAGGCGTTGGAACGCATGTTTCAAGAATCGGTGCGTGATAGAGATAGAGCAAAGAATGAGCAACATGATCGCATACAACGTTTGGAGAATTTGATCAGTGGCCTTACGGAGGTTGTGGAGCAAATGTCAAGTGCATCAGCATCAGGGCCGAATAAGGAGGCAATTACGCCACAAAAGTCTGGTGCACATGATTTAGAATGGCAGCTAAAGGAGGGATCATGGTGGCGAAAGTTGGATATTCCAATTTTTGCGGGGGATGATGTGTTTGGGTGGACAAACAAGTTGGAACGGTATTTTCGCCTACAAGCAATCAATGAAATGGAAAGAATGCAGGCTCTGATGATCGAATTCAAGGGGAAGGCCTTAAATTGGTTCCAATGGTGGGAATCTTGCAATCCAAACCCAACATGAGAATCTTTTAAAGTGGCTGTGGTGCACCATTTCCAGCTCAACATGTTGTGGAATCCTTTTGAGGTGCTTATTGCTTTAAATCTGACCAGTTCGATTGAGGATTACATTGAACAATTCGAACAGTATCCGGGGTTGCTAAAGGGCATTGATCAAGATTATCCCATTGGGATATTTTTTAATGGATTAAATGATGATATTAAGGCAGAGGAAAACTGTATGATCCTTCAAATTTGGCAGAATTAATGATGAAGGCTCAAATGGTGGAGGACAAAATTCGAATTTTGTTTAAAGGGAAGGGGCTAGTCGAGAATATGGCCAGTTTGGGTTCCAAACTCAATTGGATGACAAGAAGTTTTTCTAGATAAGGTAATAATAATTTCAATATTATGAGCAAGAGGGAAAGAAGAGATAGGAGGAGCATTCAATCATCCTGTCAAAACCTAGGGATTGATTCGAAATTGTGGCTCAACCTTTAAAAACCTAACAGATGAGGAAATGCAGGACAAGAATAAGAAGGGAGGGTGTTTCAGATGTGATGAGAAGTATGGTCCAAATCATGTTTGTTGCAATAAACAATTTCACGTGCTATTAGTCACTAATGAAGGGGAGGAAGATAAGGATGGATTATTGGAGGGTATGGATGAATTGGAGGTGGGCAATGAAGGTGACAAGGTTCTGCAATTGTCCATATTTACCTTGGCTGGCCTGACCACCAAGAAATCATGGAAGGTTTGGGGACACATAGGGGATGAGAAGGTGATTGTCATGTTGGATTGTGGAGCTTCTTATAATTTTCTTTCACAAGAATTAATGGGAAGATGTGGTTTAAAATGGAGCCACTCCTACTTATATGGTAGAGGTTGGAGATGGAAGAAGGTTGAAATTTCAAGGGAAATAGATTTGGTGTTAACAATTCAAGGATTGAAGATTCGCCAAGAATTCTTCATCTTTGATATTGGCGGGGCAAACGTTGTTTTGGGGCTGCAGTGGTTGGCCAGCTTTGGATGAAGTGAAGGCAAATTTCGGCAAATTGAAGCCGACCATAGGTGGAGGGGATAATCAAATAACAGTGGTGGGGGATCCAACCCTTTCTACCACCGCAACTTGCTTTAAAAGGTTGATCACCGACTTGCAGAAGGGTGACACAAGTTTCTTGGTTGTGTGGTAAAAGAAAATACTGCAGAAGAGATGGTTGGAATGTCAAAGGAAGTGGACAAGGTGTTGGGTTCTCACATGGATGTTTTCCAGGATTTGGAAGGGCTACCTCCAAAAAGGCAGCAAGATCATGCAATTCATCTCAAAGAGGGAGCTTCAATTCTTAATCTTAGGCCTTATAAGTATTCACACCAACAGAAGAATGAAATTGAGAAGTTGATTAGTGAAATGTTGAAGGCTCGGAATCATTCGTGCAAGTATCGACCCATACTCTAGCCCTATAATTCTAGTAAGAAAGAAAGATGATGACTGGAGATTTTGTGTAGATTATAGGGCTCTCAACAAATTACCAATTCCCAATAAATTTCCAAATCTAGTCATAGACGATCTATTGGATGAATCGGCTGGGGCATCCATATTTTCTAAGTTGGACCTTAAATCTGGATACCACCGAGGGATGCCGACATTGAAAAGAAGGCTTCTCAGACACATGAGGGCCACTATGAGTTTCTTGTCATGCCTTTTTGGCTGACAAATGTTCTTACCACTTTTCAAACTCTTATGAATGAGGTTCTTAGACCTTTTCTGAGGAAATTTGTTTTGATGTTTTTTTATGATATTCTAATTTACAGCCCCTCATAGGAGATTCATATTCACCACTTGACGCAAGTCTTGAAAAAGTTGATTGAGCATCAGTTGAAAGTTAATAAAAAGAAGTGCAGCTTCGACAAAAACAACATTGAGTATTTGGGACATGTGATTTCAGGTGTAGGGGTGTTGGCTGACCCCAAGAAGGTGGAAGCAATGTGGAATTGGCCAATTCCGAAGGTGTCATGTCTTTAAGAGGATTTCTAGGCTTAACGGGGTATTATAGGGGGTTTGTTCAAGATTATGGAAAAATAGCCAAGTCTTTGACCTAACTATTGAAAAAGGATGGGTTTAGTTGGAACATGGAGGATCAAAAGGCCTTTGAGGTTATTAAAATTGCTATCTCATGTTTACCCACCTTGGCAATTCCATATTTTTCTAAATCTTTTGTGGTTGAGATTGATGCTTCTAGCAAAGGGTTGGGTGCGGTTCTACTCTAAGAAGGTAGGCCTTTAGCCTTTTGGATCCAAACACCTGTCAAAGAGAGCTCGGGACAAATTGGTTTATGAAAAAGAGTTGATGACCTTGGTTTAGGCAAGTGCAAAAATGGAAGCATTATTTGATGGGACCCATTTCATCATAGTTACTGATTAAAAGGGTTTAAAGTTTTTGACTAAGCGAAACTTTTGACAAAAGAACAAGTTCAAATGGGTTTCTAAGTTAATTGGATTTGACTTGAAATTCGATATACACCTAGAAGGGAGAATACCGTGGTCGATGCACTTTTTTGATAAGCTTATTTTAAAAATATCTCTCGTTTTGCAACTCCAAGAGTGGGAGGATTGGGAATTAAAGATGCAAAAGGACACAAAGTTGAGTATTATCATTCAAGATTTATTGGTAGATCCTAAGGCTCCCGCACACTATGAGTTAAAGAGGGGGCGACTGTATTATCAAGGTAAATTAATGTTGCCTAGACACTACTCCCGAATTCCAATCATTCTTAAGGAGCTTCATGAATCACCTTTAGGAGGTCACATCGATTATTTTCACACTCTCAAAATAGTTGCTTGGAGTTTTATATTGGGAGGGATGAGGAAAGACATAAAAGCTTTTATGATGTAGTGTGAAGTATGTCGATGAAACAAAACTGAAACCTTGGTTCCTGCAGGGTTATTGCAACCATTACCAGTTCCTACTCAAGTATGGTCTAGCATCTCCATGGATTTTATTAGGGGTCTACCCAAAGCAAAGGGAAAAGACACTATTTTTGTCGTAGTAGACAGACTTATTAAGTATGCTCAATTCTTTGCTTTGTCTCATCCCTACTCAGCAATGGAGGTGGCTCATATTTTTGTTAAGGAGGTGGTTAAATTACATGAGTTTCCTTCCTCTACAGTTTTAGATCGAGACCAATTATTTCTCAGCCAGTCTTGGAAGGAAATTTTTAAACAAGTTGGGACTAAATTAAAGTATAGCACTGCCTATCACCCACAATCAGACGACTAGATTGAAGTTGTGAATCGTTGTCTTGAAACATACTTAAGGTGTATGACAGGTACTCAAACTAAGCATTGGCCCATGTGGCTTCCTTGGGCTGAATTTTGGTTCAACACCAACTACAATGCCTCTTCGCAAATGACACCATTCAAGGCCTTATATGGATGTGATCTCCTCTAATTTTGACGAGCACAACCATTCCATCCAAGGTCGAAAGTGAAACCAAATGCAAGAAGAAAGGGATGTGATTTTAAAAACATTGAAGGATAATTTGTGCAAAGCGCAAGAATAGAATAAGCTTCAAGCCAACAAGCACAGGGAGGGATATAGTTTATCGGGAGGGAGATTGGATTTTTCTAAAGATCCAACCATATAGGTTCAAGTCTTTAGCACGAAAATTAAATGAAAAATTAAGTCCTCGCTCTTATGGTCCTTATCAGATTTTGGAACATATGGGGCAGGTTGCTTATAAGTTGCTCTTACTAGAACATAGCCACATTCATCTCGTCTTCCATGTGTCATTGCTCAAACCAGCAGTGACGGCTGTGCAGTCCTCTCAACCCTTGCCGCCAATATTGTCTGAAGAATATATGTCGGTAGTTATTCCCAAGAAGTTGCTTGATACACGCTTAAATTCTACGGGTAAATTGGAAGTGTTGCTCAAATGGCAACAACTCCCGGAAGTCGAGAATAGTTGGGCGTTTGCTGTTGTTGTCAATAAAGAGTTTCCCGATTTCGCATTGAGGACAAGGTGAAACTGCCTGAGCGGGGTATTAATAGGTTTAACGATAGGGTTTATAATAGGAGAAATAAATAAGGAGGCAGTTATAACCTCCTGTTGTTGTAACGTGTTTATTTAGTCTGAGTTTTTCTTTTTCTTTTTTATAATAACTCTCTTGGATTGTTTGGAGGGAAGGAAGTTAGGAGTAATTACTAACTGTAATTGCGGGGGTTCTATCATCAAGTGACCAGAAGAGAAAAACTTAAAAGGTTTGATGTTTATATACAACCGCATAGTTATTTTTTGTGAACAAATATTCCCTTCTTAAAAATTTTCATATTGCTAAAGTGTTTGATGGATCCATACTTAAAAGATCGTTGGAGTTATCTGTGTTTTGTTAAACCAAGGAATTGAATTGCCCACTGCATATAATATATTGTGGAGAGTTGTCCCAAAAAAGACTAAATTTTTACCAAATGCCACGCGGCGATACCAAGAATGTTCTGCATATCATGGATCCTAAAATTTGAGTAATTTTGAATGTAAAAATTTTTGTTTAGAGTTTGACCCTTAAAACTTCCATGCAGTTGTGCACCCTCTGATTAAAAATTCAGTTTCTGAAGGATCCCAACTTTCATGCATTGAGATTCTTTCCATGGCCTGTGTTTTGTTGAATGGATATATATAGTATCCGGTCAATTGTTTAAATTGTGGAGTAGCAGCGGAAGTGGAGACAATATTATACAGAAAAACTAGTTTCTAATTATGTCAGTATTTTTTTTTTTCAGTATTATATTCATCAGTATTTAATTGGATAATATTGTAAAATAAGAATAGTCTATATGCGCAATTTAACTAAATTCATATACAAAAGTCAGATATTTGATGGGTTATGTTTGTGCAGCAAAGAACAAAAGTGTTCCTAAAAATATGGAAAATAGAGTGTATCACAGTGGTGAAAGTGAATGTTTTTATTTTAATATTTAAATTCTATATTTGTATTTTTCTATGAGAATTTGTCGTGGCATATATAACAAGCAATTGAAGTAAGTTTTTTTGGATCTTTTCTGAAAATTAAATGTTGAGCAAAAGTTGTTACTTATACTCTCTCTTAACTGAACAGGTAAAGAATTCCCCTTCACAGCCTCCAATAGTTTTTTGGACATTATTCTTCAATTTGGCCAAGGGACCAATATATTTAAAATAGCGTTAAAAATGCACAGTTTGCTGAATAAAGGATATGTATTAATTTGGGAGGAAAATATTATTACATCTATGTTTTTCTAATTTTGTTCCTCAATTGTGAGTTGACTGCAATATCTCTATAATGATAGATTTGGGATGTAGTGTTAATATAATAGGGATCCAGTTGGGAGGAGAACAACTAAAATCCAGTAAGCTAACATGAGTTGATTATTGACTTGAATCTCGTTATAAACAAGGATCATACCATGTTTGCCTAGTTTTCCTTCTCGGATGTAAATCTATGTTAGTGAAAAATGCATTGAGGAGTTCACTGATAATTAATGTTTAGATAATCCAATACAGTGATCACAGTAGAGCAGGGGCTATTTTCTATGTAATGTATTCATTTTGTTTTTATATCATGTTTGCTCAAATCATTCTCTCTCTTTAAACGAGATAAATATTACTGATACTCTAATATCTGTTTCTGTGATTTTATTTTGTTTTATGGTTTGTATTATGTACTTTGCTGATGCTTTGGTGGGGAAAAACACATTGATGTTTATGCTACCTCGTTTAAATATCTTTCCTCACTTGCATTTGAAATTTATCTATCAACATATATAATTTGTTTTCCCTTGTAACTGTGTATGCTTCACACCACATATGTCCACTTCATTTTCTCTTAATTGATATGGAGGTGATCTAACCGAAAAATAAAACTACAGCAGTAACCTGGTTTGTTTTTTATTTTTTATTTTTGTTGTTTTGTAGTCACATTTGGTAGTTGTTATGGATCAGAGTTATATAGCAATTAGAATTCACACGTCTTAATTTGTTTGCAATTGATATAGGTTGGACAATTAAATTCGCTGGTTGTTGAAGTTGCCAACTTAAGTGCGAAGGAGCTTGTTTTGCTTGAAGAGTGCAAAGACCTTTTGTCAGTGATTACTACCTTGCAGGTAAATTTGTATTTCGGAAAGCTTAAAGTACTTTTGATAATGCAGTTGCAGTTGTATGACTAGAAATTGGTTAATAAAATTTTGAGCAGGTTAGAGAATGTAGCCTGAGAACGCATGTTGCTCAACTGAAATGTCAATCCAGAAGTACTACAGTGAAATAACAAGCAAATAATATATTTATATTGTCTGACCAGCCAACTTTCAGTGCTAACATCATAAAATAGGAATGGTTGTTTTCTTGAATTTAATACATGAAACAGTCATTACTGATGGAAAAAAGCTAGTTAATATGAAAAAGAAAAAATTACAGAAAGCACAAATATCCTGGTCAAAGGGATTTTGTCATATTGTACAAAGAAATTCGTATCAAGTAGTTGCTCTCTGATTGATCTGACATCCTAGGATTGAAATTTGTCGTTCGGGAGTTAGTTTGTATACAATTTTTTCTAAAAGAAAAATCCTTACCCATTTGTCTATTTTTAATAGGATGTATGTAAAGTGTGTAGCATTTTATGTTTTATTTTATTTTATTTTATATTTGTTTTTGTGAGTTTGGGTGAGCTCATGGAAAAAAATGTCAAAATGTGGATGCGATTTGCTGTATTTTCTAAAATGATGCTTGCTTAGTTCTGGCATGTGGTCATTTAAAATCAGGTAAAAAGTTATTCGTTATAGACATATATTTTTCATTACTAAAAGTTGTATTTTCTAAAGTTACTGATTTGTGCATTTCATTCATTTGGTACTAGATTATATCAATGTTTTGAAGTTATTATTTGCTCATTAAATAGAGGTTGTCTGATTAATCAGTTGTCGAACAAAGTCAGTTGTCATACGTCGATGTAAAGGTAAATAGATAAATCCGACAACATTCGTAGTTCCAATGTTGTCCCATAACTTATCATAAATAGCTGAGCTGTCAATTTCATGGTTCACATAACTTCATCGGTTCTCTTCTCATATTGATCTGCCATCGTGTGACTATTTCTGATCCTTCATTAAGGATATTTATTTATTGCATTTTAAATTTTTTTTTACTCCCGCCATGCTTTCAATTTATATTATTTAAAAAAGATAATTATATTTATAATAAATTAATTTTATTATTTTAAAAAAATAATTATATTTATAATAAATTAATTTTATATATTTTTTATATAAAAATAAATATTTATAATTTGTAATTATTATTAATTAAATATATATTTTAATTTATTATATTTATATTAAAATATATATGTAAAAGAAATATTTAATCATTTTTATTTATATATATAAAAAATATTTATAACATTATTATTATTATAATATTGTATTCTATCATTTAAATACGTATAATAATAATAAAAATAATAATAAAAATAAAAATAAAAATAAAAATAATATTATTATTATTATATTGTATTTAAATATTTGATTACATATATAAGTTAATTTAGTTTTAAGTTGTTATATAAAAATATAAAATATATAATTTATAAGAAAATATTTAATAAGTTAATTTTTATATAATTAATTTGAAGTAATAAAAATTTAAATTATAAATTTTTTTAATCATTTAAAATATAATTATTTTATTAAGATAAATTTGATATATGATAAATAAGAATAAATAGTTTTAAAAAATATGACATAATAAAAACTAATAAATATAAATTATAAATAAAATAATATTAGTTAATATTAAGATTTATGTAAAATATTTAGAAAAAGATGAAAAAAAATTATATTCATCAAATTGGTTAGAAAGATTGAAAAAAAAACAAATTGATTGGAGAGATTAAGAAAATACGAAAAATTGAAATGTAAGAAAAAGAGAATAATATAATAAACTAATTGATATAAAGATTAAAAAATACAAAAGAATTAAAAAGTAGACAGAAGAAAAGTAAAAATGGTGAAATATAAAAAAATAACATTATATTTAATAGAAAAAGAAAAAAAATTCAAAATATTAATATTTTAAAATATAAATATAAATATAAAATCGGTTCAGAGTGAGGATTGCATTACCCATCACCGCCCACCCCCGATTAACTCAATTTTTCTCCTTCAAACTCAAGATAAGGACTGGATCGATCCTACGAATACGAGTTTAATTGTTATAATAACATTCTTTCTCCAACTACACAAGTATCATCCTTTTTAATTATGCTTTTGAACAATTTTTTAAAATAAAAATATTTATTAAATATGTATATAAATATATATTTATATATTTTAAATGTTTATTTATTTTTTATAAATATAATGAATACATACATATTTATATATTTAATATATATATATATATATATAATATTTAAGTATATTTTTAATATAAAATATTTTAGTAAAAACAAATAATATATTTTTTATAGAAATATATAAACATTTTTATTATATTTTAATATATTTTTAAAATATGGTAAATACATATATTTATATATTTAATATAATATGTATATATACATAATTATATATTTATGTATTTAATAAATACATATTTATATTTTCTTATATACATTATAACTTTATTATATATATATATATATATATATTTAATATAATATATAAAATTGTATATTCAATAAATTTATATTGTTTTATATAGATAATAACTTTATTGAATATAATATATATATATATATATATATATATATATATATATAATACTAAAGTATTTATTTAATATAAAATATTTTAGAAAATACAAATTATAATTTTCTATTTTTTTCATAGAAATATATAAATATTTGTATTAAATAAAAATATAGTTATTAAATACATATTTATATATGCAAAACATTTGTTTATATGTTATATGTAAGAAATATAAATATATATTTTTATATTTTTATATAAATATATGTTTAATATATTTGTATATATTTTTATAGCTATATATATATATACATTTAATAAATAAATATAATATTTATATTAAAAATTATTTTATTTTATTTCAATATAGTATAAAATAGATTTCGTATAAATATTTTGTTAAAATTTTGTATAAATAAAAATTTAAATTAAATTATTTGAGTAAAATATACTATTTGAATTGAAGTGAATTGATATTTTAGATATTAAATCAATAAGACATGAATGAGCAAATTAGAAAACTACAAATGAGTAAAACAATTATTTATTTGTTTATTGTAATATCATATTACAAAAGTATAACATAATTATCTATGAGAAGTTGATCCCCTATGCTTAGGGTTATGTGAATAATGATTTTTTTTTGTCATGGAATGTGACAATAGGAGTATTTCTTTTGGTGACCTTTTTTGTAGATATTTATTTCAAGTACTAATTCGTATTGACTTGGAACTTCTTCTTGTTGCTAGATTGGGGCAACAATTTATCTTTCACCAAAGTTTAAATATATTTTTTTAAATAACTTTATCAATGTCTCATAACATAACACAAATAACTAAAGTAAATAAAAATTCATAAAAAAATACAAGAAAAAGTTCATGTAGTCTATTTTGAAGGATCACAAGACATCTATAATCGAGCCCATTTCAAAGCAAATGAAGTTTTTAAAGTTTATTATTCTTTCTAAATTATATATATATATATATATATATATATATATATAAACATAATAATATTACTTTTATTTTGTTTTTAAAATAATAATTATTTTATAAAATGGGTCAACTTATGTTATAAAATGGGTCAACCCATAAGCCTACGGACTAGTCTGCCTAAGTCTATTTAGGCCATGATCTAAATAGGTCGGGCCAAAATTGACCTGATTCTATTTAAGTCACATATTTTTTTCCTAGCCTGACCTATTTTTCTGGTCTTTCGTACTGACCCATCAGACTAAGTCTATTTTGACACCCCTACCCATTTGTTCCTAGGAATTTTGTCAATCCAGGTTGTTACTTATGAATTGGGTTGCCTTATGATGTTGTAGTAATAGTTTGTTCTTCACTCATATTAAACTAATAAACGTTAACATAGAATAGACAACATGACATAGTAAAAAAACTTAGATAGAATAAAAGTTATTACTCATATTGACAAGGTAATTTTTTGAGAGTCGCATTATTGAATCTTCTCATAAAATTTTGTGTAATATATCGAATGCAGTATACATGCATACAATTACCCTTAGTTCATCCACTATCAGGTCTTATGTATGCTACATGAATGGAGTTATGGCGATCCGAAACTAAGCACAAGTTGTCCTAAGATGTGACATACCTCCTTAGATTTTTTTAAGAAAATCTTTGTGGTGGGTCATAATATTGAGCCAAAGTCATGACTGCCAACGCTTGGACTTCCACTTCCGGTTCCAATACCTCTTCTTGAAAGTGTTTCTCTATATGGTCTTTATTTTCCCTATTATCCCTCTCCGACCATTCAGGTTTCCTTCTATCACTCGATGGATAATTTTTTCTTTAATGTGCTCGACCATGATTGCCCCCTACTCCAAATTCCATGCTAATTTCTTTTTTTCTCATATTCAATCTCAGCTTTACAATTTCATACCTAGAATTAACAAAATGTGATAAGATGACATGAAGATGCATGTATGAACTAGTAAATAAAATGGATTCGTAAAATTCCATGAAACTATGATCAAATGTGTGGTGTTATTTCATAATAAAAAGGAAAAGTAGGGATAAGAGTTAAGGTAATGTACGTGTCTCCCTTTGTGCCTTATTAGAGGTTCAATGTCTAATGGATCTAAGATAACATACATGCACTCACCAGGTTGGTTCCCTAATACCTAGAGCTCAAGGTCACCAGAGTTATCGTTCACTTCACGGCATTTCCCATAATAGTTGGTAGACAACAAGGAATGGGAGTGTCAATGAAGTGAACAAACTCTTGTCGAGGTTCTCACAATGACCACTTGGGAAGTATATGCACCGTGACCTTGCTACACAATCCCCTCTAATTCTAAGCTAACATACCTAGGTAGAGGGCCTATTCATGTCATGCATAAAGTGTGTGAAGGGAAAATGATGCACACACCCAAACTCCTACTTGCAAAACAGCCAGAAAATTTCCCAGGTTGATATAAACATGTCTTCTACCCTAAAATTCAATATCCAATAATTATTTCAGGCCACAAAGTACATATATTCATGCATTATTCCAAATATTCAGGTAAGACAAGAATACATAGATGCACAAAAGTGACAAAAAAGGGAAGTAA